TCACTCCTATAAGGTTCTGTTCTGACTCAGGAAAATAACGAGCTTTTACAAGAGATGATAAATATTTGTTGTTGTTTTTTGGGCTTCTCGATTTTTTTTTTTAATTTTCCATGAAAACTTTTAATGCGAGAAGTAAAATTATAATTTGTTTGGGTGGCAATTCTGTTTAAGCGATCTCTTTGAATACTCAATTAATTGTAAAATTTTCAAAGGCAGGTATAAAAAATAATATGGTCTGCTATAAAAGCTTATTGATTGAAATGACAAACTCGTTTAATACCTTTTATTAATAAACTTTATTAAGTTATGTTTATTAATTGTAATAATAAACATGTTTAACCAATTTTAAATGTTTTCTGCAAACTAAAATTTATTCCCCGACACTTTTTGACCCTTTGATTGAGACGTTTGAGAACTCTGTGTACAAATTTTGATACTGTAGTGTTCTCAAGAGAACTGAGAACACTAATTTTGATTACCTGTTGTTACTAACTTACGTTCTTCAACGACATCAAGGTTATCATAGTTTACACATAACAACACATATGCATTTGACTTCGTAAATTCAAAGTCAGCTACAACTAGGAGTTAAGAGAAGCGTTGTTAAAAAAATATTAATGAAGAGATAAATAGCAAAAAATAAAGTTGGTGCATATTTGGCATTTTTCACGAAAAATTTTAAAATTCAGCAGGAAAAAAATTCTAAAACAGTGGATTGGTTGTGTTGCCGAAAGTTATTTCACTTACCCGACATCACATAGGGTTAGATTTAGCATTTGATTAGTTGCAAGTCAAGTATATATTTTTAGCAAATTGTCACCCTATGTGATGTCGGGTAAGTGACATGTAGGGAAAATAACTTTTGGGGAATCGTACCGTGTTGAGGCGTTTAATAATGTGAATCATGATACAAACCTTTCTTTATTTCTGCAATTTGGAACATAATATTTCAAGAAGTTTATCCCTACAAATATTCTTGAAGTAATGAAGGAAATAATTCAAGCTCGAGAATTGATTATTAGTCAAAAATCGTGAAATGAGGAAGAAAAATCTATTTGGGATCGTTTCAATTTTAGTACACGAGAAAAAAACAAATTAAAACAAAAATATTTAATTCTATCCTCGCATTTTCCATACGCGAATAAATTGTAAGCAACTTGAATTATTTATTTACTTTTATTGTCTGATCTTGAAACGGACATCTCTGTAAAAAAAACTTTCTGTGAAAATGTAAAAGAAATTGTTATTAGATGCAAGACACAGGATATAGCCCAAACTATGTGATATTGATTTTTACTTAGGTATTACTTCTTTATTGTAGAAATTGTGAGAGATTAATTATCATATAGTTTGGGTCGTTCCAAGCAGTTTGGATTACATCCCTAGTGCCAGGGACGATGTTTTTCTACTGTGATAATTGCCCAATTCATCTGTGCTAAATAATAAATTCTGTGCGGTCACTTAGTAGATTCTACGAAGTTGCCGTATCCTTACAAAAATGAAAACAAAAAAAAAAAAAAAACTTATTTGAATCGCCTGTTCAGTCAATAAACATTATTTGGATCTACGAAAAGCAGTTGACCTCTTGTGAAAACTAAGCGGGAGGTATCAATGCTTGCTCTTTGGATTCAGGTTCGTACGTTTTTAACCTGGTAATACCGCCTGTGGTTGCGGAGAAATAACTCCCAATATGCACAGAGGTTTATTCATCTCGCCTTTGTCTTGACGGTTTTATCTCTCGAACAACACGAACATACGTATGAAAAAAATTTTACGCGCGTCATTGGGGAGTGCGGATATTATGTAAATCAAACCTATATGTGGTCACTCAATATTTTAAATATTAGTCATTAATTTTTTTAATGATTAAATATATTTATATAAAAACTTTGTCTCGCTTTTTTAGATGCATCGGTTGCATTTTTTCTTTATTTACGATATTATAAAGTTACGAGATTTGTTTTTACATTATCTATGGAAATACTTTTTTTTTTTCCGGTCTCTTTTATGTGCAAATCGTTTTCTTCGTTTCTCGTAAAAAAAAAAAAAAAAAAAAATTTAAATAACAAGCTTTTTTTTTTTTGACGAAAATATAAATTTGACTTCATAACTTTGTTCTTTAGGACTTAACCTTGATTTTTAATTTACGCGTCTTCTATAATATTTTCATAATAAATACCTAATAGATATATATAATAACATTATAGTACGGCCACTATTGATCATGAGTATTACACTGTTTATGTGATAAATCACTTTCTTCTTATTTCGTCATTCATGCTTGTTATATTATACGACGCATACTTATATTCTACTACACTACACAATAGAAGATTTAAAAAAAGACATAAACATTATAATTTATGAACAATGACTGCCGTGTTATAATATCAATATAAGTATTTAACAATTGATAGCATATAATATCTTAAATGAATATCGCAGAAAAAATTGCATTATGGCTTGTTACAACAAACCTAAATTTAATGGAGAGCTAGAGGAAATGATTAATTGTGGTCACACGCAAATATGGAGGTTTCTGTAGCAATAAAAAAGTGAACAAAGCCCAAAGGGATTTTCCTGCTGGATGGAGCCTCAGTTATTTGGCTGTCTATATTTAATTAGAACTGATTGTTGATATCTAATTATCCATCCATAGCATATAAGTGATAAAATGCTTAATTAATAGACAATTTCAATTAACTTTATAATCTTAAATATCAAAATTATGCAAAAATTTTATTTTATTTTTGTTAGTCAATGTAAAATTATAAATAAACTACAGTAGTTGTTTATGATGTGATGTTTTTAATTTATCTAATTTTTTTTTTTTTTTTTTTTTACTTGTTTAATATTCACAGAATTCACATGCTTATTGTCCCCAATTTCATTATTTGAATTCAGCTCATCACTATCAACTTTGGCCAGTACCATCAGATTGTTCGGAATTTATAGTTTGTCCATTATCTTCAACATGTTCACCATTCTCTGTCTCTATAACTTCAGAAGTTTGCATACTTAACTTTGCTTTCGCTTCTTTAGTCTTATTAGCTGCAGCTTGTGCAAAAACATGCTATAATTTAAAATTTCATATTAGATTATGTTAAAAAATAATAAAAAACAATAATGTATAAATAATATGTTGCGTAAGAAATACCTTTGCATAAGTATTTATATCATATTGAAAAGGTTTTTCACCAAAATTAGCTTCAATACGTTCATTAGGACTTATCATTCCGCTTATTGGATACATTTCTCCTTCAAATATGGCTTTTGATGCTATACCTATTTATTAAATAAAAAAGTTATTAGTTATATAAAAATTTTAAATAAACAAATGAAAATAAATAAACCGTACAACAATTAAAATTTTCTCTTGGAAAGATGATAATACCTAAATTCACACCATTTTTTGTAAAAAATATACTTTTATCATAGTAATTTATTCCACAGCCAACAGTATCCCCGGTTGTATATAAAGGACCATACTTGTCACCACGACCACTTTGTAGGTAAAGCAGCCCATCATCTCCGTGATATCCTATTGATTCGTGCTCCCATCCTAGAAGGATTGATATTTATGATATAATTAAAGTATGGATCAATATTTAATTTTGACAATGCTATCAAAAGTCATTAATATTTAATCTTACCTGGCATCCGGTCAAGAGGAATATGTCCTTTGGTAAGGCCTATTCCAATACATCTAACAAAAACATGAATGCACTGTGAGCATAATTTTAAAAGTAATATCGAGACATTTGTATTTTAAAAAATAAACTTTGTTATTTTTGAGACATACCCACGTTCTCCCTTATCAATTACTTTGATCTCAAAATAATATAATCCAACTTCTGGACAAACAGGAAAATCTGTTCGGATCGATGATGCATCTATCCAATTCCTTCCTGGCCCTTTTTTTCAAAAGGAAAAAAAAAACACCAAAAGAAGGTAATTTTAAAATACAATCAAAAAATAATAATATTTATAAAAATAAAAAAGTTAAACTTGTTCTATAAAATTTAATAATATTTATAAAAATAATTTACTATATTCTTGTGTACCAATATATTCAAGACTAACGCCATCTTCCAAAACAGAAACATAAGGAGCTCTATCATGAGGATTCCAACAGGTAGGTAGTAATATAGAAGTTGTTAATCTTTTATTTAGCAGGGAAATTGGACTATCACGCAAGTATGAGGGAATAAAATATCTCGGTGGTGCCATTTTTTATCTGTAGTTAAATTTTTAAAAGTAAAATTA